ATAAACTGACATCAAGTCAATCTTTTCTTAGGTATTAATCTTTTTCAAATGTTTTATAAAACACCTTATATGCTTTTATATTGTCAATTGCATGCCGGTATATGTATAGTTATATAAATAATGTTTAAAGGACTTAGGAAGGCTAACCCGCTTTATTTCATTTTCCCCGTTGGGATGTGGTCTGGTAGGGTATCGGGTATCCGTCCGAAATTCGTTTAACTATTAGTTATATATCATGGATACGTATAGAGACATAAAAGCTTTCATCAGTCAGTTCAGTACCTTTGGGTAGCAAAGGCATTACTTCAGGTTATACACGTACATGGTTAGTAACTATTATAAGTATAGTTAGGAGATACCACTTACCATTCCAAGTACAAGGAATCACACAAGAGTCAGTTCATTCATGAGTCTATACTAGTACATTACATGATACATGAGTACGTTTACATAGATATGCTTACATGAGTGCGTTTACATAAATACGCTTACATGAATACGTTTACATAGATACGCTTACATGAGTGCGTTTACATAGATACGCTTACATGAGTACGTTTACATGAATACGTTTACATGAATACTTTTACATGGATACTTTTACATAGATAATATATGACAAGTTACTATTACATATTGTATGTATAGATTCTGTTATATAATTCTCCTTCTTATCTTTATTTTGTGATGCAATCACATAATCAACAAGATGGATTGGACTTTATATCCTAGTACCAAAGGATACTTTGTGGGACTAACCATTCCTATCACCACTGTTAGCTATAAAGGTAAATGCACATCTACGGATGTCTTAGGTTGATACCATTACAGGTATACTTTAAGGGACTAACTATTCCTACACCCAGCTGTTAGCAACAGAGGTAAATGTACATCTACGGATGTCTTAAGTTAACACTGTTAGTTATCCTAATACAAAAGGATAATACTTAAGTTATTATGTTATTTTCTTCCTTTACTTTGTGACACATTCACATGAACGACGAGGTAGGATATATTTGATATAGATAACTATTTTCCTTATTACCTTTATATTGTGACTCATACACATAAACGATGAGGTATACTATAGTTTTATACTAATAGTTAGACAGGGAAAAACCATCACATTTACAGAGATACTTACTTTCAAAACAGTCGGGTCTTGGTAGAAGACTACTTTCAAAACAGTAGGGTCTTGGTAGAAGACTTCTTTTATAGGGATCATAGGGATTTCTAAGGTTATTCAAACGCTTTCCATTACTTACAAACATTTACATACTTATATGAGCTTTTTGGCTGATACTCGCTTTCAAAATAACTTGTATTCTCAGGTCACAAATAGACAGGTACGACGACCAAGTTTTGTGAAGACGGAGCAGTCCAGACTCGTCTTATATTCTGATTATTCATTTTATTGTTGTATATTATGAAAGAACACACTTGTAATTAAAATTATACTATTAATGCAATGGATGATGTTGTTGCTTGTTTACTACTTTACATTATCGTGATACATTACATGACGTCCTCCTCCCCAGAACGTTTCCGCCGTTCTCGGTTTTGGGGTGTGACACATAACCATCTATGAGAGAAGTGTGTATGAGGAAAATTCAAGTATAGAGCTCTTTGTATTGTGTTTTGTCCAAATGGTGGAGGAAAGGCTCCTATTTATAGTGAAAAGGATGAGACAATAATGAAACAAAGGAAGAGAGAGAGAGAGGGGACAAAAATGCTTGTCTCTTGTCTTATTGGATGGATGGAGAACATGGTATCTAAGCAAATCGTGAGCATCAAAATCATGTTCACTGGCTTATGGAGGCAGGTAGGCCTAGCAAATGGGCCTAACACCATTAAGTCTCATCAATCCAATATGGTTAGCTTTCGACCAAGCATCTTGGGTTGAAAGAGATAAGTGGTCCTTAGTTATCCTTAAAAACTTTTCTTATATTGTGTACCGGTTTATATCTAGCTCACAACCAGGTTTTAAGATGTTATATCCACTCGCTTTGGCAAGGTGTATCAATGCAAAAAGAAAGGGGAAAACAATTAATAATATTGTGATAAGTATTGGAATGTAGTTAGGAACTTAAGTCTTTTGTTTTTTTTTAGTATTTATCTTACTTTTAAATTTCCAGCAATTATCTTTGAGTTAGTTTAAGTCTTTGTGTTTGAGTCAAAGTCCTTGTTAATACTTATATATAGGTTTTGAGATTATTGAATAAAGTATGCTTGAAGTTTTATTAATTTTAGTTTAGTTCTTCCTAATTTTAATAACTTAGCTTCTCGAGAAGGAAACTAGGCTATTCAGCACTCACGGCTCCTGTTAGCGAGTTCACGAGATCTAAGGTCAAGGATATAACAAGTTTTGTATAGAACCACGATGGTGACTCCTACAGAAGAGTTGATGTAAAAGTTGGAGGAAGTCATGATTCAACAGGTTCAAAGCAATAATGAGATTAAAGGGGTGATTGCAGAATTATAAGCTAACATGTGTCCCTGGAAGAAGGTTTGTCAAAACAGAAAAACTCCAAAAACGGATCATAAGATAGCATAGAGGAAGAAGATGACCAACGATTTGAAGACAGCAACAAACCCGACCAGGGGAGGGGCAAGGGACGTCTTCGGGTGCATCAGATTTCAGCATGGACCTTGACGAAATGCGGAAAATAACAGCGTTATTTGATCGATATAATCTTAATTTCGCTGAACGTTTGGCGTTCGACAAAGAAAAATAAGAAGCAAAGAAGAAGGAGCCCGCGCAGAGACAAGAAATGAAGGATATGAAGTTCTTGATGGAAAACGCCGACCATCTGTCGGGACTGGCTCTCGAGCTCGTGATGAAGAAGAGGGAAAAAATTATGAAAAAATATTTTTCATAGGTTTTGTTGGTTTGTTTGATTTTTTGTTTGTGTTTTTTAATATTCTACTTTTTTAAGTTTTAGGTTTATTGTAATTTTTATTTAAATTTATGAAATGCATTTTCGTTTTAATTAAATTTTATGTTTATTATTAATTTAAAATTTATAAATCATAAAAATGAATTAATTTTATTTTAAAAAATAAAAAAACAAATAGTGAGGGAAGCTTCTCACCCAAGTTAAGGTGAGAGAAATGAAAGTGAAGGAAAGGGTGTTGTGACCCACAAAAAATGAGGGGAGTTTCCCACTCACACCCTCCTCCGATGTAGTTTATTTAAGTTTTTGACTTGTAATTATAATTTTATAAAAAGAAAAAATAGTTTGACATTGAACTCATCCTAGGATTAATTTCTAGCCTTCTCGAATTCATAACATGTTATGCGTCATTGAGAAGATAAGTTTGATTAAGAGGGTGTTTGGCTAAGCTTATTTTTTTAACTTATTACCGTTCCACACCGGTATAAGTGAAAATAAGTATTTGGATAAAAATAATTTATAAAGATGTCATACAATAAATAAATCAAAATCTATAAGTAACTCTCTCGTAACTCATTAGCTTATAAGTTATAAGCTATAAGTTGAAAAATGTTTATGAAAAGTCATAAACTTAGCCAAACACCCCCTAAGTAATTGTATCGGGGTTACTCAGGTCAACCCGATCCCAAAAAAAATATATAAATCAACCCGAAACCCGACCTTATATAAATTTTGGGTTTGTCGGGTTAACCCGATTAACCTGATTTCGACTTTTATATCATATTAAACCCTATCATATTTATCTTATTTTTGTTCGAATCTGATTAATCGGGTTCAGGTATTTTTGACACCTCTAATTGTACCTAACGATGTAACATGGTATATATTGGTGTCTAGTCTTCTTAAAGAGATTGATGGTTTATAGATAGATTTATGCATACGGAGTGAAATTCATAGTACTAAATTATACAATTAGGTGTGAGACTCGTGTATTACACGGATTGATTTAAAAAAATTAAACATTAAATTAAAATATAAACAGAAAATATTTTTTAATGTACAACTTTAAAATAAGAAAAGAAAAATATATTTATTACAATTTAATATCATATCATATATATAATCTTTAATATATATATATATATATATATATATATATATATATATATATATATATATATATGACTTTAATTTTAAAAATTAAAACAAATAAAAAATTGATAAGGGGATAAGATTTATTTCAAAAATATCATAAAATAACAAGTGTCAAAACAAATGGAAAATTAACATAAGATAAAAAAAATAACCTTCAAAGATTTTTGTTTCCATTTCTTTCATTTGATGCATACAAATTTTGAACACATCGACGTAAATTAGCCATGTTGTGAACCTTTTATCCACAAGAATGTATGTTGGAAGTTCTTCAAGCTCTTGATATTGCAAGTTCATGACCAACAAAAATATAAAAGTATCGTTTATTTTTTATTTTTTCTTTCCTTCCAACTTAAAAACACATCTTTTCATTTCATTTATCTCAAGAACACAATTAATTAAGTTACTTTTTCCTTCCCTTCTTTCCCTTCTTTTCCATATCCTTAAGTTAAAGGCTTAAAGTTTCCATTGTCTTCAACTTTATAAAATCTGTCATTCATCTTTTGTTTTTCTTTCTTCACGTGCTACCATTCAAATTTATCTTCATTTCCCCTTTTGTTCTTCCACTTTATATTTTATTCATCTTCCACCTTTATTCAACATCAATTATAAGAAATCGTAATTTCAATTATATAGTGAAATTCGAAATCTCAAAAACCCAAAGCATATTAATTAGAAAATCTTAAATTTGTTCAAATTCAGTCAAAATCAATCCGCACACATTCAAAAACACAAAACTACAACAAATTAAACAAATACACAACCATTAAAGCATCTCAACATATCACTCTCAGAACTTTTATTTTTTATAACATTAAAATTCTAATCTATTACAACATGCATATTATTCAAGAATTTATATTCTCTTTATCACTAAAGAACTTAACTCTAACAACATTTTCCAACTTTAACAATTAAAATTACATTAAAAAAAAAAAAAAAATCACAACTCCATCATCTAGTATTCAAATCAAACTCCCCTCCCTCACGCCACTCACTTTGCATCCCACCATCACCATTCTCCCTCTCCTCATCATTCAAAAAATCCTCCGACGGTTCCTTCTCCTCCCTCCCCCACCCATTCATCACCTCCTCCTGCCCGCCACCACCACCACCACCGCCGCCACCCCCATCATCCTCCATCCCCGCCATCGCACTAGCCCGAATGGGCGCCCGGGCCATCATCTCCGCCCTGGCCGCCTCCGCCTGAGCCAACGCCGCCATCCGCATACTAGCGGCATGCGCCTCCCGCCCGGCTTTTTGTCGATTTTCCATTTCCGCCCTTGCTTCGAAGAGCGCGCGGCGCTCTTCTTGGAGCAGAGCTTGTTCGATTAGCAATCGTTCCTCGGAACGGAATTCGCCCATCGCGCGTTTACGCGATATGATGTTGAACGCGAGGACTTGTTTCTCAAATGTCGCGGTGAATTCGGAGACTTTGTTCGCGATGCTTTGGTCCCACTGCTGGCAACGGGAAAGGACGGTTCCGGTCGTGTCGGAATCCAGGATTCTATCGTCTTCCTCGGCTTCGTAATCCGCAACTACGTGATACGGTAGGAGTCTGGAGAAGATTGTTTTTTTTTGTTAAAAGATAGAAATAGCAACGTTTGTGGCAAGCATACAAAAGTCTAGGGATCAAATTTGCAAACATAAGAAAGTTTTGTGGCCAAAGTTTGAAATAATATACTTTTTGGCAAAGCGGATGATTAAAGGGGGTGGAAAGTGCCAACATACAAAGCCTAGGGACCAAATTTACAAACATAAGAATGTTTTGTGGCCAAAGTTTGAAATAAAGTGCCAACATACAAAACTCTAGGGACCAAATGTGTAAATATAAAAAAACTTGGTGGCCAAAGTTTGAAATAAGATACTTTTGTGGCAAAGTGGATGATTAGGAGGATGGAAAGTGCCAACATACAAAAGTCTAGGGACCAATGTTATATCAGAAAGACACAGAGGATTATGTTATAATGCACAAATAAATGAAAGTACGTTGCTATTTCTGGTGTTTAAATAACTAGCAATATTCATTTATCGTTGGGTAGATTTTTAAAGTGTAATGTCTTAATAATAAAATCTTGAAAGTACAATGCTATAATTGGGTTTATTGTGGTTGAAGATTGTTTTTAGGGTTAAATGCAATAATTAGCAATGTCCTTTCAAAGATTTGTTTAATACAACATCCTACTTCAATTTCTTCCTATCAAAACATTGTATTTTAAAAAAATCTACCAATTATAGCAGTGTCAATTTTCACTGTTATATTGGGGTAGATTTTTCAGAGTATAAGCTTTACTAAAGAACATACCTAAAGCTATAGAAAGAATGAACACATCATACCCTACCACATAAAGAATTTGCAGCCTTTTAACTTCTAACATGTACGCAAATTAATGGTCTTAATTTTTCCTATAAATACAGATTAGCAAGTAAGAATCATCACAATTCTTGCTAAATACCAGAAATATAATCAGTTTAAACGCATATAAAACTCCCCCAAATTGGAGATTGATCGAGGATATGGGTAATAGCAGTATAAACAAAGAACAATTCAAAGCATCAGAATTAAGAAAGGGGAAAAAAATGTCACCTTTCACAAGCATCTTCCAGTGAAGAAAAGGGGCGTTTGAAGTCGGGATGGCAAACTCGCCAAGCGTCCTGATACGCCATCTGCAATTCAGCCTGGTTTGCTGGAGGAGTTTGAGGAGGTTGAGTTTGGGTGCGATTAGGAGGTCTAAGCTGTGAATTCATGGACATAGGGTTAGGGTTTTGTAGAAGATTAGGGTTAGGATTAGGGTTTTGCTGTTGATGCTGTTGATGCTGTTGTTGATTGATGATGGGACGCTGTAGTGGTCGAAGATGTGCATCGATGTTAGAGGGAAATCTAGAGATTGCTTGCTGCTGTTTGTGCTGCTGCTGGATTTGCTGTAAGAGAAGGAACTGTTGTTGTTGTTGATGTTGCTGTTGCTGTTGTTGTTGATGTTGATGTTGATGCTGTTGTTGTAGCATCAGATGCTGTTGTTGTTGCTGTTGCTGCGCCATGGCTTTGGCTTCTTCCATTGGTAGGGATTCGGTGATCTTGAGATACAGTCTCTGTCGGCTCGTCCCCTTTTCAATGCCCGGTAGATCCCACTGGTCAAGCTGCTCCGAGTTTAATGGAGCCAAGGTCTTTGGTTATCGAATCCGAAGTATCTTATTTCTCCTTAAATGAAATAGACATTGTATTTTATTGATCGATTTTTATTAATATGTTATTTTTATTTTTAATAGAGAAACTATAAAAAAAAAAAAAAAAAAAATGGTGAATTAGATTTTTGCTTTGTTTTTTTATGTATATTTTTTGGATTTATTAAAAAAGTCACATCAGTCATTAATATATATAGACATTAATTCCTAAAACACTTACTTGTTCCTATTTTTTTTTTTATAAATTCAATAAAGAAAAAGAAAGGAAAATATTGGAGAAAGAAAGGGAATGGAAGGTAAGGAAAAAAAAAATTATTCTATGTTCCTGAGTTCGGAGAAAATGAAAGGAAACGAAGAGGAAAATTTTTAAGTTTTTGTGTTCCCGGATTAGGAGGAAAAAAAATAAGCTTAAAATTTTTACTTTCCCTCACTTTCTTCCTAAATCCGTCCAATTTGGAAGGAAAATATGACTTCAAAATCATTTTCTTCCCCCTCACTTTTCTTCCATTAATAAAATTCGGAAACATAATTTTTCTTCAATATCCCTCACTTTCTCTCCATTTTCATCCATATCTCTCAATAAGTACAACTTGGTAACAAGGCGTTAGAAATAGTTAAATTTCCACTCTTTAGGTTTCATATGTTTTGGAATTGGTTACTTTTTACCTTTGATATCTTTTCATTATGGTTTGATCACTATTTTCTTTTTTCCTTATGAGCTTTAAATTTCATCCCTTATTATTATTATTATTATTATTATTATTATTATTATTATTATTATTAATTTTAACCTTATGAAATATTTAAAAAAATATATGTTGGAATGACTCCAAGATACATCATATGCTTCCAAAAATTTGAAAATCTTTTCTAATTTACCTCATTCTTCATTACTTGGACAATCTAAGTAATTAGAATCACTTAGTGCTAAATGGAAAAAAGCATGACGATAAACAATAGCACTTTCGATCATAAGAAAAATAGCATTCCATCTAGTTGGAACATCTTGTCGCAAGCCTTTTTTTGGATTCAAATTAACCTGTTTCACACCTTCAGAAAGTTTTTTTTTCCATATTGAGTATCACTTCACGTAATTGATAGATTCTCTAAATTTAACAATCCATTCATCAATAGCCTTCAAGCTATCTTGCACAACTAAATTCAACACGTGAGCACAACATCGAACATGAAAATAATCTTCGTTACTACGAAGTGCACCTTCATTACATAATTGACCTTTTAGGAGATTGAAAAAAGTGTCATTACTTGAAGTATTATTTCACGTTATTGTAAACAACTTTTTATCAATACCTCAATTGGTCAATAAAGTAGATATTGTTTCAGTTAAACATACGCCATTATGTGGAGGTGGCATATACTGAAAGTTCAAAATTCTTTTTGTCAACTTCCAATCCTCATCAATAAAGTGAGAAGTAACACACAAGAAACCATTTGTGTTAATAGAAGACCACAAATCAGCAGTTAATGAAATCCGACTAGGAAGTAACTCAAACAAGTTCTTGAGTTTTCCTTTTTTTTTTTCTCTTTTAAACAAATTCAGCACATCTTCTTTAGCAGTGTTTCTAGTAATTGTGATAACTTTTTCATTTAAGTAACTAAAGATTTCTCTAATTCCATCATACTCTACAAACTTAAAGGGAAGGTCGTGCTTGACAATAACTTCACTAATAAGTTCATGAAATCTTTCAGGTTTAAAAACTGTGGAATTTATTGAAATGGAACCATCTGATATTGCAAAAATGAATTGTGATATGTCACTTTTATCCCTTCTTGGACACTTTACAATGTGATTTCTCAAGCTACCTGTCCCATATTTTGTTTCACACATGTATCTTTTTTTGCACTTATCACATTCAACCTTTTCCCTACCATCTGTACCAATTGGAAGTCAGGTATAATAGTTCCATACCTCAGACCACTTTTCCCTTCCCATTTTTGCATGATCCTTTTCACCCTCTACTTTAACATCTACCTCCACAACATCAATGTCGATTTCTTATCAAACTGTTTGAAATAATGAAATACCTGAGGAACTACAGATGTAGAATGTGTATATTTTTTTATCAAGCTTTTCCTTCTTCATGTTGATTTCTTATCAAATTGTTTGAAATAAAAATTGGAAACAAATATTTAGAAGAAAGTTGTAATATGAAACTAAGAAAGCAATCAAAAGGAAAATATGGAGTGTACAATTTATATGAATGTGATTATAATTTTAGATACTATTATATTAGAAGTTGTAATATGAAACGAAACAAGTTTATTTAAATAATAACTAAATTCAGAGTAATCAAGAAGACTAGAAGTATAAGTAAAATAAAGTATCTCATAAGCAAATATGGAGTAATACAAGAAGTAATCAAGAGACAAGATGTATACAGTTTCTCCTTGTCGCAAAATCAATCAAGAGTTATCAATCTAACAATCAAGAAATTAATGAAACATGAAAAAATTACCTTTGTTGCATCGATTGTGGGTAACAAGCAATAAAGCAAGTATATGAGTCGATTGCGATGTCTGAACGGCTGAACCAGAAGCGAAATTTGTTTAGTAAGCGGTTGTGTTTGAGAAGCGAGAGCAGGAAATAACTAGAGCATTTAGGTTTTGCGATTGCCGATTGTGGACTTGTGGTTGAGAACATAGAATTTGTTTAGTAAGAGGATGGGGGATGATGAAGTTAGAGGAAAGGGGGCTATAATGAGGTTTAAATTGAGCTACACCCCAAAAGATTAGGGTTTCCATAACTGGAAAGTACGAGTACTAGGGCGCGCCCTATTACGCTCAGCGTACATGCATACGCATGGCAAACTCCTCCAAGGCAAATTTTACAAAAATCCACTAGGGCCTTTTTTGCACTCTTTCTTAAACTTGGGGACCAAAATGCAACATAAATAAATTATAGGGTTTCTCATCATCAGGATGTTACAATAAGATTAGTCGTTGCCCATTCTTATGTGGAAATGGGAAGAGGTCACCATGGATTTCATCATGAAGTTGCCAAGAACAACATGTGGGGTGGATTCTATCTAGGTCAATGTTGATAGACTGACCAAGAGTGTTTATTTCATATCGATCACTAAGAGTATATCTGATAAGAAATTGACTGGTATTTATATCTAAAAGGTGGTGGTTCAAAACAGGGTGCCAATTTTGGTGGTTTCAGATCGATATGTTTGTTTCACCTCCAGGTTTTAAAGGAAGTTTCACGAGGAGTTGGGTAGTAAGCTGCAATTTAATACAACGTACCACCCCCATACTAATGGACAGAGTGAGCAGACGATTCAGATTCTCAGGGAATTTGTGCTAGATTTTGGTGGGAGTTGGGATACTTATCTTCCATTGGACGAGTTCTCATACAATAATAACTATCATGTCGGTATTGATCGACCACCTTTCAAGATGTTGTACAGAAGGAAGTGTAGGATCCTGGTTTGTTGGGGAGAGGTTGGACATCAAGTTATGGTTAGTACCGGGGTAGTAATCAAGACCATTGAGTTGATACAGTAGGTAAGTTATAGGTTGCGAATCATGAAAAGCCGACAAAAGAGTTATGCTGACTAGCGATGATCATACCTCGAGTTCTAGGTGGGAATTTGGTATTTCTGATGGTGTCACCTTGGAAGGTTGTCATCCAATTTTGAAAGCAGGGCAAGTTAGGCCCCCACTTTATTAGTCCCTTTAGGATTATCAAGAATATGGGCAAGGTTGCACACCAGCTGAATTTTCCTGATGAGCTCAGTCAGATCCACACCACTTTCCATGTCTCTCAGTTATGGAAGTGTTTAGCTAATGATTCTACAATGATTTCTTTGGATGACATTCAAGTCGGTGAGCACCTAAACTATGTAGATAGTCCAATTGTGATTCTTGACAAAAAGACAAAGACTGTGCGCAACAAAGTGGTGAACCTGGTGAAGGGGCAATGGCAGCACCGGAAGGGCTCGGGGTGAATGTGGGAGCCTAAGAATGAGATGAGGGAGAATTACCCAGAGTTGTTTGCAACATCGGACTTCGAGGATGAAGTCTGATTAAAGTAGGGGAGATTTGTAACACCCATGTTCCCAAGTATTTTCATTTATGGCTTAAAGTTTGAAATAATTGCAATTTTAGTCCTTACTTGGGGAATACCCTATGGGTACGCTGGGCGTAACTCGTTAAAGGCAGCGGGGTATCCTTTAAGTTCGTTGGGGTACATAAGAAATACGCAGGGCGTACTCACGCTGATCCCAAACCCTAATTTTTAGGGTTTAGACCTTATTTAAAGGACCTTAAGTCCTTAAGGCCTCCCTTAACTTCAACCTCTACTCCCTCATTCTGTCATTTCAAAACTCTAATCCTTGAGAGCTTGTTTTGGACCTTTAGAGCATTCTTGATGCATTATGGGAGAAAAATTGGTGGACTTGGAGCTTGTAGATCAAAAGTTTTCATTTCATTTACCAACCTTGGAGGTATAAAGCACTCACCTTTATGGTTCTATGATTTAGATCTAGGTTAGAGTCTTGTTTGGTATAACTTTTCGTCATATGGTTTGGTTTTTGTGAGTAAAAGCTACTTCATAGCTTTGGATTGTAATTTCTTAGTGTTTATGAGATTATTATGTCATAAAAATGGGATCTTGGTTGCAACCTTTCATCCATGCAAGTATATGGGTCATTTAAAGGATGTTAAGAAGCTAGGGTTTCATTTTGGGTTTCATTATGTCATGAAAAGGCATATTGTTAGGAGCTTTATGATTTTGGATGTTCATTAAGTTTAGATCTGAAACTTAGATGTTAGTTCTTAATGGATTAAGCGCTTGAAATGGAGTTTGGTAACCAACTAGGTACGCCCCTGTGTGAATCCGAGTACGTAGTGCTTAGTGACTTGCCTTTGTGTTTTCTGTAAAGCCTCTACTCATGACGTAGAGGTAAGGGTACGCATAGCGTAACCCCTGAAGGTGACTTTGGTCATTTTTGGACTTTAGGTCATGATTGGATGGGTTTAGTC